CGGTATCACACCATGACCATCGCTGATTCGCCTGAGCGAGAGAAGAAGACAGAACGTCATACGTCTGTCTCCTTGTATTACCCGTTGCCCGACGTTCCGAGCACACACGTATTCGGATGCACATATGGAGCGATGTCTTTCACTATGTTATCAAACGACCGAAGTCTCTGCGTTTTAAGCCTGTTCATTTAAACACAAATTCTCGCATTACATTATCAGCTGCTTGCAATATCCGACAGCGACATACGACGTAGAACCAGAGCTGGGAAATCTTGCCTGGGCGCACTGGCGTTTTACTCCTTCCACTTCTCACACAGAGAAGCTTCTGTCCGTCCGTGTGACTACGCGCGCTCGGCCGAGTTCGGCGCACCGAGCGAGAGAGAGAATGTCATTCCCTTGCTCGGTGCGCCGAACTCGGCCGAGGGAACGTAGTCACACAACAAACAGAAATATCTCGGTATGAGAAATGGAAGGAGTAAAACGCCAGTGCGTCCGGGCAAGATTTTCCAGCTCTGAGTAGAACAGGCTTTAGCAGTGAATTTCGGATAGCAGTCGAAGACGGAGCAATCTGACGCGTGAACGCCGATTGTTTGCAGCGTGCCGCTTGCGTGTCGCCGCCACGTGTCGTACGCCACCGAGAAATAAATATCTCTCGTTTCTTCCCTTTAGAAATAATTTTAATTATAATTCAGTGCTATCTTTTCCACACCACCTGGCGGTAGATAGCATGGCGCGTTTTTTTTTAAGTGGTGTCCCCAGTAGGCCTAATCCACTGTTACAAATTAATGTAACAATTGTTCGAAGTGCCGTCCTCCCTCCCGTATACAAAGTTCGGCTCTTCGTACAATATTGCGCGTCGCACGATGTGCCATTTCCGGCGTGATGGTATTGAAGGCCGCAACAATAGCTTCACGTACTTCATTCTCTGTACCATCACGCCGATGTTCGATCAAATCTTTAACGTAGCCCCATAAGAAATAATCGAGCACGTTAAGATCAGGCGACCGTGCCGGCCAGATGATTGGGCCACCTCGACCCATCCACCTTTCCGGAAAACGCGCGTCTAAAAAATTACGTACTCGCCGGCTAAAATGCGCAGGAGCTCCATCTTGCTGGAAAATCAACTCTGCCCGTGCGTGGAGAGGGACATCTTCGAGGAGCACTGGGAGTTGATTCTCTATGAAGTCCGCGTAAATTTCGCCATTGAGCCGTGGCGGGAGAAAATACGGACCGATCTGAAAATTGTAAATGGGAACGTTACGAAACTGCTGCAGAAAAAATAACTGTTTCAATAAAACGACTACTTACCACTCGGTTCGCTGTTACTCCGGCCCATACGTTAATGGTCCAACGATATTGAAAAGCGCCTTCTCGAACGGCGTACGGATTTTCTTCCTGCCAAAGCAGGAAATTCCGCGAATTAAATACGCCGTTCGGTGTGAAGGTGGCCTCGTCCGTCCACAGGATGCGATCGGGGAAAGAAATATTCCGCCGATACTGCGCGAGGAAACCTACGTATATTAAAGGATGATTAATAGAAACATATTCAACACAGTCAAATAAATAACAAATAAATATTACGGAAATACCTTCACAAAAGAAGACGCGCCGTTGTTCGTCGCCAGGGAGTAACTGTTGTACCCGTTGATGATGAAACGGGCGCAATCCATTCTCCCGTAGCGTACGATGCACCAGTCGTCGTGATAGACGTAGTGCAGCAGCTACACGACGCACGCTGTTTCCAGGATTTCTTTCAAATTCCTGTAAAATCCTCTCTTCATAATGGACGTGGCGATACCGTATCCTTCCAGCGGGTCGTATAGTCGGCAGGAGAACTCCGGTTTCCCTCAAGCGGTCAACACACCGCTGAATGACACAGCGCGAAGGATGTCGTTCACGCTCGGGAAATCGTTCCGCGTAAAGGCGTTCGGCGGCACGTAAATTTTCTCCAGCCATACCGTATGTAATAACCATATCGGTATATTCATGTATGGTAAATTTGGCCATTGTGTTTTGATAAACAGCACGAGTTGTTCATACCGAACCGTATCGTGCACTGAAGCTGTGGGTCCTGACATAAACAATTAACGATCGACGAAGATTGTTTTATTTTCTCGCGTGATCC